CTAATCAGAAGTATGTTGGGTGTCCCTGATTGGTTGGATGACCAAAGGCACAGAAAAACATTGCTGTATATAACTGGGTCGCGCCAGTATTACTCTAACCGCCGTTTCATCAGCAGTTTTAATGGCATGCCAAAAGATGGATTTTTTAATTTATATCATTAAGTCAATTATTAACGATTATTGTTATTTTCTCGGGGACTTGAAATGGCTAATATTGCAAATGACCATTTTCATGAAACAATCTATTTCATTATGAGCTATGCTTGTCCACTCAATGCGGTTAATATTTTATAAAGTGGCTTTAAAACCATTCAAATAGTTACAGAGCAGGTATAAAATAAGTCAAATAGGCATTGACTATGGGCATGAAGTGAACCATGTAGATATTATGCAATATGACCTTACCATTGAGAAAGTCCAAAAATCTATATATATATATATATAAGTAGTTTAATTAACCGCTATGGTAATTGAACGAACTGGAGAGTTTTGCAGAATGAAGTGCAAACATTTTCAACCATAAATTGCACCCTTTATAACTTATCGAAAAAAATAAAGTAAATTAATAGCTCCCCTGATTATTTAAATCGACCCTGGTGTCCCGAATTTTTGCTTTTAGAGGTTGATTCCATTTTGTTTGAAGGTAATCGGTTTTATGGTGGTTTGAGTGGAAAGTTGATTTGCCGAATACTGCGACATGTATTTTAACAACAGAAACTTTCGTCGAGGTGTTATGGGTTTATTGATAGGAATGTAAACACACTGGTTGGTCAGACGAGGATTTTGAAGCAATTCAATAAAATAGTAGATTCATCTCCCTCCCAATAAATCAATTAACAATAGCTCTTTATTTATAACCTATGTCAAGTAGCTTTTATATCTTTGACTTGCATGAACATGATGTTAGTGAATTTCCTAATATACTATGATACCTGTCTAATATACAGGTAACAGTCTTCCATTGATAAATAATGTTTCAATATATCAACATGCCATACAAATTTATTCATTATTCATTTTAAGTGAACCATTATTTTTGTTAACGCGTATTAGAAAAAAATCCTGAATTTGGTCTTTTAGAAATTCATCCCAAATTTTTCATTCCAGTGTGTGTTCTTCTTTCAGTTTTTATCTGAGACTTAAAATATAGCTACTGTATCTTAAGTCCAAGGCGTCAAAAGAAACCATTTTTCTTAATTTGATAAAAAAAATTGCCTGCTTAATTACAATATTAGTCTCTTTTGTTACTATTTTTATATGCTCTTTGTATATTTGTTACAATTAAAATAAAAACAGACTTTGTTCAATTTGACTACTGTTTTTGTATGTTTCTAAGAAAATACATTTAATTTTTTTAGCAAGCCGACCAAAAATCATGATGAACAATGTCTTTCGTCCGCCCATTCATCTATGATATACATGTACAATTCTGGTAAAATCCAATTAACCATTGAAAAGTTTAAAAGAAATAGAGGATATTTGCTTGTTTGTGTGTAAGATGAAATTTTATTTTGACCATCGAGTGAGCTTTATAAACAGTATTCTCACGAGTGGCGTAGCCACGAATGAGAATACCGTTTTTAAAGCTGCATGCCTCCAGATGACCCAAAATATTCAAGAAAATTAAACTTGGAAAAACCATACTAAAACTTTGAGAAAAGTAAACAAATTAAAGATTCAAGTGATAATTTATATCTTATTTGCAATTAATGACTGTATTTTTTAGTATCTATCACCATATTTCTACTGCGTTACTAACGCAGTAGGGGCTATTTATGCATATTTTGATCTCTTTATTTGGTAATTTACGTGGATTTTAAGTGCCGATTGTCATGTGTCAAGTACTTTATCTGTTCATTTCATAATATTTTACCTTTAAATACATTTTCAATTTTCATGAAAATTAGAATGAATCTGGAGGCGTGCTGCTTTAAAGTTCACGAGATTAAATAAAATTACATCTTACACAACAAACAAATGAGCTGCGTCATGACAAAACCAACATAATGGGTTTGCGACAAGCATGGATCCAGACCAGCCTGCGCATCCGCGCAGTCTGATCAGGATCCATGTTGTTCGCTTACAAACACTATAACAAATAGAGAAACTGATAGCGAACATCATGGATCCTGATCAGACTGCGCGGATGCGCAGGCTGGTGTGGATCCATGCTGGTCGCAAACCCATTATGTTGGTTTTGTCATGACACAGCTCAAATTTTCTTTTTCTTTTATGCTTAATAACACGTTAACTCGAAATTTCCTTGATATTAACGTGAATATTAAAATCTGTTTTTCCCACTGGTAGCCTCTATTATGTACATGTATTAGTCGAATTTCTCATAAAATACAATAAGTCTTGGGCTGAAAAAATAATTTCAATAATCAACGTTAAATGGCGATGATATTATTCATTTTATTAAAAAATATGAATTATCGCTTGTTTTAATAATAAAACAAACAATTCTAGTAGGAGAAAAAGTCCAACCATCCATCCATATTTCTGTTACTTACTGCGAATTTATATTAGACCTGGCTCTGTTAAATGTAAACGGCCGCCATTTTTAAAAGTTGTGTATTTATAGGGAGGAAAAAAAATTGTGCTTGATTCAGAGGGATATCATTTTGATTTGTTAGCCATACACCTTTTTAAAAGAAAGAAAACTTATTTGAGGATTGTAACAGACAATAGTTATATAAGTGTTGACAGATGTGTAAACATTAAAAAAAATTGGAAACTTGGATTTGTTGAAAGGCTGCCTTACGAACGATGGGTTATTTACTTATTCTTCGGGCTGATGCCTGTCGTTGCTTTTCAAGTTTTCATAAAGCGTACGGCAGTTATTGCTTGTAGGATACTTAAATTGCACAAATGTCATCAAGAACAGTTTTGCATGTGGAAGGAATGTATTTTTCAGATTGTAAAAATGAAACAAAAAAAATTAAGAGAATATATATGGTGATTGGTAATTTGGATATAAGTAAGTTTTATTCTTGTTATTACTTTTGACATTTAAGTTATTTATCAATTTCAGCTTTGCTTTTCTTTAAACAGCCTGTCATTGTCAAAATTGTCAGCAAAAATAAAATTGAGGTATCACATGGTGACAATTTTAAAAAAAGTAGTTTCGTCATTGAAAAGTGTGAAATTATATTTTGATAATTTTCACTGTGAAATTATCAAATATAAATTTCACGGATAAATCAGTAATCCACTGAAAAGCATACAATAATATCTGGTCATCAGATGTCTACTAGTTCATCGTCACTTGCTGCATTTATTGCGTGGACGCAATTTGATGCTATGCATCAATGCCTTTCTTTTTTAACATGATATACCATTGGCGCGAAACATGTAACGGACATTTTGAAATATAAAGTCGATTTGGCTTATTTATATTTGGATTTTGATATTTCCTACAATGGGTAGTTGTTTGCAGAAAGTGAGAAGCATTATAGGTGAAAAAGAAAATGTACATGCTTTGATATTTTTTATCATCTAATATTATTGACTACAGTACAGTGGTGACACAAACAGCACAATGTTGCACTACTGTCATGTCATATTACATTTACAAGTCTTGTAAGTCTTGTTTGTATTGTAATTACTTTCCTTACCAGGTAGGCATCAGTGAAAGCATTTTTATTTAAATTTAATATCTGGCCCCTCTGTCATGGACAGTGCATAGATAAGTATAATTATACAAATTTAATGATTTACAAAACATCCGGAATAATGTACACTAGTCCTTAATCTAAATAGAAAATGACTTGTGCGCAGAAATAATTTGGTAAGGTATCTGTAAGAGCGCATTTTATTGCGCGGAGCTTCTCAATTGCTGCATTGCAGCAACATTTGTACTTGTATTTAATGGGTTACCTGTATAGACCGGGGTTGTGCCGTTTCCTGGACAAGATGATTTTCCCCATCGGACATATATACTTCCCGCGCTATTACCTGTTAAAGAAAACAAACATTTTGTCCATTCTCCGCTTTACGTTAAATAGTCAATGGGTAGTGAAGATTTTAGTTTCTGTATTACATGTATCTAAAATTGCTTGTTGTTTTTTTTAACTCTTTATTGCTCTTTGCAGGTCTTAAACTTTAAAATAAGATATGAACAGTAAAATTGTTTACTAAATCAATACATGTATATGGTTTGTTGCTGCAGATTAAAGGCACATCGTGTCTCAGAAATGAGTTTTTTTCTTTCTTAAGAAATGGTAAATTTGAGTTTTATAACATTTAAATAACGGGTTTAGAGGAAGTTAGATGCTTATCACCTGAAGGATTTATAGCGCTGGATGTGAAATAATTCGTTTAAAAGAAGCAAAATGTAAACAAAGTAGTATTTAGGATTCCATGCAAAACACTAAGCACTATAATTGTACGTATTGCCAAAATGCAACAGGCAGAAGCAAAACATTGTTCAGGTAATTTGCCAGTGAATAACTTTTTAGAAAATTTAACTGAACAGCAAAATGAAAAAGCTTTTGAAAAATAAAAACAAAAGCATTTCTGGGGCATAATTGGGCTTTAATCAACACGTCTTGTTAAACATACATGCACGAATCACATACGCATTTCGTTCTAGGTCCTAATTTTTCTTACAAGCAATTAAACATATGATTATATACTGAACCAAAAAAGAAACTTTCGCAAAGACTGTGCCAGTTGTTCAAGGGTACCACTTAGATGTACACACTTATATACATGTAGTAGCTTGTAAAACTCGTTTTGTTTGCAAAATCGGTCCCCTAATCACCGTATAAAAGCCCGATATGTTTATTCAACGTAAAAATCGAGTTTCAAAAGGATTGAAAAACTGTACTAACATATCTACATTTAAACTTGGAGAAAGTTTCTTTTTTTGTTTCAGTATATATGCAACACGTGTAGCTGAGACATCAAGTTCATCAAGAGAATTCACAAATTAACGATTTCTTAAATTTCACGAATTCGGGATCTTAATCTTCTTTTGTTTTCATGAATTAACGGTTTCAACATTATGAATTCAAATTTCCAATTTCTTGAATTCAGGATTTCAACATCACGAACTCGCGATTTCATCTTCATGTATTCAGCGAATAAACATTTTGAACTTCAACTTTATGAATTCACACATTCAACTTAATGAATTCTTAATTTCAACTTCACGATTTCAACTTCAAGAATTCTTTATTTCAGTTTGTGAAGTTGATTTTTAGAATTCGTGAAGTTTATATCTAGCACAGACACTTGGGGTGTGAAGATCAAAACGCCTTTAAAATCCAAATAAAATGTATATTTGTCAATCCAAGCTCATGTACTGATTATATACATGTACATCAAAAAACCATAATTATAAGCCGTTTTGAAAAAAATTCATATTTCAACGTCTATAATAATTATAGACGTTGAAATATGATTTTTTTTCAAAACGGCTTATATTAAGGTTTCTTTATATATATGATCAGTACATGTGCTGGGATTGACAATTATGCATTTTATTTGGATTTTAAAGGCGTTTTGAGCTCCACACCCCAAGTATCTGTGATATCTAGTGGCAATCATGAATTCGTGAAGCCTTAAATGTCCGCAGTTATCATGCAGGTTATGACTTACTTCGGTCGCCAGATTCCTTTAGAAATATCACTAACACACTGTCTGTCATACGTTTAGATTTTTCACAAAATTTATCTGTTTGGCGCCAACTGCCAATGCTTTACTTTTTCACGTTTTCACCTCCATTCGGAGAGTCACAAATACATGCTAAGCCAATCGCAACTACTCGGCCCTTTCCGTCAGTCTTCGGATAAGGACCTCGAACACAATAGTATGAATACACAGAACGGATGCAGTATTTCGGTCTAACCTACGCTAAAAAACTAAACATGTAAACAAATAGTAATTTAATGTTGGGAGTTGTGGACAAGTTTATTTCCAATATATGTAGTATAAGTCCACCTAAAATAAGTGAATTCATAGGTACAAAAGCAAACAATACATTATTCATATATTTATTATTATGGTTGTAGAAACCGAAAAAAACAACCTGTTGACATTTAGTCCGATTTGTTTAAAATTGAACATCAGTGGGCATATCTAAATTACAAATTGTTGTCAGACATATTTACAAGCATAAGAGTACCGGAACAGACATTAGATGTCAAATATATACATTCGTTTTACATTAATGCTCCGCGCCTGGGCGCGGAGCTATTTGTGTTTACATTTTTTTTTGTCCATGGACCCGGATTTGATCAATAAATCCTTTCGATTTACAGCTAAAAGTAAATCCGCATTCAAGAACTCCTTTCGATTTCTATATTGGTTTCCCCGTCGGTGATTCGCAGCATGTCATATTAATGAATGAGAACCGGAAAGCAGTTCTGCTGTACATGAATTCGAAAGCTATAAATAGCTATAAATGTTCTAATTTCTTACACTTAGGTTATACATTTGTTATTTCCCTTTTTTAGTAGTACATGTACATGAAATTATAATTTGTTACATTTTGAATTACATTTACACACAGCATATCAAGTACATGTATACTATTAGTGATTGGATTTGTCAATATAAAGAAGATTTAAGGCAAAAGACGTTAAGAATTTTGCATTTGATAATTATTTTTAATTTATATTTATGAAATTAAATGTTTAATAATAACATGCTGATATATTGGTTGTTTTTAAATAATTAAACTTTAGTATGTAAGGTTACATTTCATTAACTCTTTAAGGACATGACTGGTGACATGTCCGGGGTCCGTACTCGACAGCGCAAGCTGCATTTTGTGCCCGAAAGGGCGGATGGACCCTCATTAAGCTTTAACTACATACATACATATGCGCCATAGGTACAGCTTACCACTTTGTGAAAAAGAAAAAAAAAATAAGGGTATGACTGGTGACATGTTCGGGGGCCCGTACTCGACAGCGAAAGCTGCATTTTGTGGCCTCACGAGCGGATGGACCCTCATAAAGAATAGGCTTTAGATAGATATCATGATAACAACAGAAACTGTGATCTGCAGTTTGAACATGAAGTGTAATGTTTTTTATGAATGGTTTTAAAGCAATTCAACAAAAAAATATATATTGATCTCCTAATAAATTAATTAACAATAGTTTTTTTAATATATTACCAATGTCAAATAGCTTTCATATCTTTGTCTCGCACGAACATGATGTTAGTGAATTTCCTCATACCTACCTATAATTCAGGTAACAGTCTTCTATTATATTGATAAATACTGTGTCACCATGTAACGCGTGTATAACAAACAAAAAAATTCCTGAATTTGGTCTTTTTGAAATTCATCCCATTTTTTTCATTCCAGAGTGTGTTCTACTTTCAGTATTGAAAGAAACCATTTTTTTAAATTGACATGAAAAAAAAAATGCATGTTATATTACTACATTATAATATTAGTCCCTTTTGTTCATATTTGTATATTTGTTACAATTATAATAATAAAAAAAACAGACTTTGATATTTTTATCATCTTATGTTACTGACTACAGTAGTGACACAAACAGAACAAAGTACAGTCATGTCACATAACATTTACAAGTCTTTAAGTCTTGTTTGTATTCAATGGAATTACTTTCCTTACCAGGTAGGCATCAGTGAAAGCATTTTTTATATTAAATATCTTTCCCCTCTTTTTAATTATGGACCGTGCATAATATATAATTATGCAAAAAATGGTTTACAAAACATTCGGAAAAAATCTACAATAGTACTTAATCTGAATATAACATGACCTGTGCGTAGGAATAATTTGGTAAGGTATCTGCAATGAGCGCATTTTTGCGCGGAGCTTCTCAATTGCTGCATTGCAGCAACATTTGTACTTGTCTCTGTTTCTGTTTACATGATCTGAAACCACTTAATTGGTAGAGCTACTTTCAATCAGGTTATTATAGATAATAGCCGAGGCAGTTCCGAATGTACGCTAAGCTACTAAATAGTTAAGTTTAGTTTCGGGTAAAAAACAACAACAAATTACTGCTCATTTCCTACACACAAACAAGAAAGAATTACATTAACAGAAAAATATCAAAAGTTTTCAGTTCCTTCAAAACATCACGCCTGTTTTATTAATAAATTTGAACAGGTCATCAGCCCCTAACCACCCATAACATGTAAAGCATTACTTGAATCTTGAATCATTTGTTCAAAATCTTATACATTTTTCTAAAGTTTATTTTTCTCGAAGTATTTTGGCTCATCTGGCAGCTTTTAAATAATTACAATGAAGTCTCACCTGAAGCACTTTGTAGATTAGCAACGGTTGCCTTTAAAGCTTTTAACTGCAAAACAAAACGAAATGTCTTTCTTAGTCATTTTTTAAAGGCAAGTAAAGAAGGACAACTTTTGTTTACGTCAAGTATCTAACATATTAACATTTATGTGAACATTTCATGTTAACAAGAAAAACGAAGTAACACACAGTTTAAACTCTCTTTTTCTTATGGGATTATCATCATGAAATTTTATTGATGACTATCTTCTACTGTGAACAAAACACACATTATTAATTAAGGTTGTTGCCAAATAGGTTGACTGTGAATACTCTTGTCCTTAAAGCTATGCATGAAAATTAAACCAGATAAGAAATGTAGACACTGTTAGACTCCACATTGTCTCCACTCCATGACCTTGTAAACTTGATAATATGCTAGCTACATTCAACCATAGGCACAGACGGAAGCCCTCTTAACTAATCATTAACTGCCAGATTTATCGGAATGTAACGATTTTTTAGTATTAAGTTTGTTTTTATAATCCCGCCGTTTTTAACTTGTTACTTATTTAAACAGACCTGTACTCTTAACTCGAAAAGCGGCATGTATTAAAAAACGAATATAACGTTAAAGTCGGATAAATTTGGAAGTGCTGCTTAGTTAAGAGGGTCTTCGTCCCGAAACCAATTGACTTTACATGATGTTCCTGAGCCAACAATATAAAGCCTGGTCACACTACGCGGATGAACATGCTCTATAGTATTGACAAGAGCCTATTTCCTGTCGGTACCAGCAGAATCTAGATTAAAATCTTACCTCTGCTTCTAATGTCTGAAATGTCTGTTTAACTATTGCCATATATGTCTGAAATGCTACAAGGGAAGCGTCATCCTGAAGCAAAAGTCGATTATTTCTATTTCTACAAACTATTTCGCTGGCCGAAATAAGAAATAAAGTTATATAGAACACCAGAGACATTTTGAACAGTTTGTTGATGTCAGATATAATTGCAAAACCCTGTTCATGTCAGCTGTCTTATCAGTAACCAACTTTTAAAAGAGGTGGCAGGTCATTCTATTGAAATATGAAACGGGAGGAAATTGAGGTTCTTCTATCGAAAAATTATTTTTTTACATATTTTCATTTTTGGAGATTTGTAATTGGGAAAAAAATGCTTTTTCGTGTTTAGAATATTTGAGATTCTTTTATCGGAAATAGGATCATAGTTTGTTATGGAAAATATTTTTCCTGTTTTCAATATCCGAGGTCCTTCTATTAGAAAAAATGATCGGACCTGGTAATAGAAAAAAATCATGTTTTTACTTTTAGGTCCTTCTTTTAAAAAATTTATCTGAGCTAGTTATAGAAATAAAATTATTTGTTTGGCAAGATAACTATCAGGATTATTTTTTTACCTATTTAATTATTTTGTCTTTTTTAAACTTTGTGATGAAAGAAAAAGGGACGAGTTATATTACTGTGATAAAGTATTTGTAAATCATTAGTGACTGAATGTGTATATTTTGATATTTATATATACATGTATATACTACATAAAACGCATTCAATAATCATTATTTTTATCTATGGATTACTTATAGATGCAGGTACAGCTATCAAAATGACATCTAACAAAATATATGTAATTTTCTCAGGATCAATATATCTGTCAGGGAGAACTTGTTATAAAGAAACTACTTACAAATAGTACTTTTGTAAAAGGAACATTGAATTTAAAGCAAAGAAATAAAGTCATTATATCTGTCATATTAGAAAAAACTGGCTCTGTGTGTATGTTCTGCTATGTTTTCCTAAGTTAAAGGTAATAACTTAACATGCAGCAATAGATAATAGATTTAACTTTCAAATGGTGTATAATACAATAGGATCAAATGTACATCCAGTAAGTTTAATTTGCTACAAATTCCACTTTTTGATAGGCATGAGTGATATTTCAATGGAGTATATATAGGAGCTGCTTATCTCTGTTATCTATGTCTCTGATTCTACCATATTCCATCATACTTTTAATTCATTACCTTATCGGCTATAATTTTGTTAGTCGGGGCTTTATGTTTGCAATTTTGCATTATAATTAGATAATTGTGTATGGCAAGGATGAAGACTTGAAATAAACAGGCCAATATTTACGAATTGGGCAAATAATTTAAAAATTTTACTCAGAACTACCAGATTTTAAGCAAGAGGCGATGAAAAATGGACTATGAATTAGTTTTTGACACATATAATACAATATGTAAGGCAAGCTTAATCATTAAAGTTTAATTTAGCACCGAAAACTCACTTTTAACGATGAAAATTACCATTTTTAACAAGTGCTTTTGCAGTCTATACAATGGTTTTCCGACGATATCCGTGACAGTTATCACAAGAACTCCTTTACAAGTTATCATAATGTAATATTGTTGTCCAAATCATATGCTTTGTCCGAACATGAATTGTACAAGTAATGCTCACCTTATTGCAGAATTTTAATCCATATCATTTCGATTTTTAGTTATATTATGTCATTCTACACTTAAACAATACAGTTTAAAACATTGTTAATTATTTTGTATCTGTTTAAATCCATTACTGTGTGTACAATCATACGAAACATTTTGCAATTGAATTTGGCGGCCATATTGACTTGTTCTACTACGGTGCAAGAATATTGTTGTCATCTTGATATATATGCTAATACTTAAGTTTGTGTTACAAGTTGAATAAAAAATTAATTGTTAACTTATATTTTTGCATTACATATAAAATACTACAATGGATGATTGCTATTGTTGTCATCTTGATATATATGCTAATACTTAAGTTTGTGTTACAAGTTGAATAAAAAATTAATTGTTAACTTATATTTTTGCATTACATATAAAATACTACAATGGATGATTGCTATATTGTATTTAAAAGTTATTAATTCTAAGAAACTATTTAAGGCACTTGTGCGTAAGAAAGTTGGCAAATGTTGGCAACTATTATTTCTATATGTCAAAAGTATTTTTAATATATTGATAAATTAATAATTATCAGTCATTATTTAGGAACCTCTTGTTATGTTTAAAATGTATTATATTGTATGTATGTAAAGTGAATAATGTTTATTTATTTAAAAACATTGTAGAACCTGTTTACGCATTTTTATGTTTGCAAGTTCTAATTGGCTGACGCTATGTTTGCCAACATCCGACAGCTATATAAGGGCGGCTGTAACCGAAAATGGCACCAGTTGCAAGCTTCCAATAACTTCCTTAGTAACCAAGGCACTGGGGAATATTTTCAAAAAAACATCTTATTAATCAATTTTATTCAGTAAGTTACAAACAAAACATGTTGTCCGTAAAGAAAACAATAATCCTTTAAATGTTTAAGTCCCGTTTATTTACAAAAAAACAAAATAATTCCGTTTGTTTACATATGCCAAGTTTTGCTTACATAGCAACCCCGTAGTCAAGTTTTTTAACATCAACACTATGCAATTGGTGGTCCCCTTTGCTGTTACAGTAGATACATTATAAGTTCTTACATAATTTATTATTATATTAAATAATATAAACTTAAATTTGTTATCTTCATCAATACAGAAAAAATTATTTAAACGTTAATAGCGTTTCTTATTATTAGTTTTCACACTAGCTAAAAACCCTTAAAAGACAGCTTGTAAGCTTGGTGGCTTACAATAAGAACTCCATCCCTCGTGTGACACTTCCTCCCCGTGGTAATTATCAAGTTGTTGTGGATGTAATGACTAAATTTACATAGAAAATTGTTTTATTGAGGCTAAGAATTTAAAATTTGATGGAATATGGTAGAATATGCAAGGAAAAATCTGTGATATATGTTTGCGATTTGGATCAAAAAATATGTCCCTTGGGAACCCGCCCATGGGCGGATCCCCTCGGGACGCATATCCGATATAAACCGCAACATGTCAGAAAGTATTAATGTTTCATCCGTTAATGGATGTTTTCTCGTGAATCATATGAAGTTATCTTTGTGTTTATATACAAAAATATATTACCAATTTAGATATGTTATTCAAGATTTACATAATAAGTCAGGGTTTAGTAATGTCAGATTTATAAAAAATATTCTTTTTTTTCTTATTGTCTATTTTGTGTAAACAACACACGTGAGCTCGCGACCTTCTACATAAGGCGGACATTTCAATGAGCCACATACGACTTCTACTAAATATAACAGGCGACCATTATCGTTAGCATGCCCACCCATGACAACTTCCGGTCTTGAATCGAGGCAAACGTATTCTGATGCAGAAGGATGTCCATCGAGAGCAGACACCAGGTATCCATTGTATCCTTTGGTCCATCCTGGATAGCAATCAAGACGACCCGGTAGCATCATCATGATCGGTCTAGTGGACTGGCAAACCGCGCAAGGAGCGTCCTCTTCATAGATATGTTCCCCGCCAAAAAAAGCAGAGCCTTGATCTGAGTGAAACTCTCCAAACTGATATTCCACACCGTATATTTTACTACCAGAGACTACCGAGTCATCATAATGAGCCCATTGCGGGTCTGTCGGTAAACAGAGGTGATTTGTAGCGCCGCCTGTTTTGCCGTAATAGAATCCTGCTGAGAAACCTGCAAAATGTCAACATGTATTTGGTAATGAATCGAATAGAAATGTTAAAAGTTGCTTCAGAAAATATATTTATGTTTGCACCTTGCAAGACTCAGCAGTTAATTTATGTTAAAATAAGGTAGAACAAATACCAAATTGGATGAAAATGTCCAGGCCCAGAGGGCACTGGACTGTTTATTTAAAAATCAAGAAAGATAGGCATATAAAGCTTATATAAGTAAATAACAATGTACGTCCAACCTATTTATATTCTTAACTGATTGGTAAGATATGAGCTAATTTTCAGATATAATGATGATTTATAAAAAAAAAAAAAAACTTTGAAATCCATTTATTCCAGCGAATTGTAGTAAAGGGTATGTGAGTCAAACTGTAGTAAATTTTTTGTCAATGTTAATTTTTATAATCTTATAAACTAAAACGTTTTACCTGAATAGACGAGATGTGTGCCATTTGCAGGACATGATGTTCTGTCCCATCTGACATAAAGGTTGCCACCGCCTGTTCCTACAATAATAATTAATACTTGATGTAGGAAACCACAATATTCAAGTATTGTACAGTCATTCAGGCACTGTTTTCAGTGGCACTTTGTATCAGTTTATGTTTCTCTTAAAAGGAACTCCACTGAGGTCCAAAAGCCTAAAATCATAAAATTTGAATTTCTTACATAGATCAACTGGCACGTTTCAAACAAAGGGATATTTAAAGGATAATTTAGAAATAAACTCAGAAATAAATTGAAATCGTATTTTTCTGCGATTCTTAGTTCGATTTGAGCGAAAAGCATTGAAACGCTCTTCAATTTTGGGTCATTTTTAGAATCAAAATAACTAGTCTAGAAAAACAGAGAGAGAGAGCGAATAATCTGAAATTTTGCACATAATGTATTAGTGTAGTGGAATATTAATCTTGAAAAATTATTTTCAGTTCCATCATGTCAACAAAGACTTCAGTTGAGTCCCTGTAAGAGCGTATACCTCAGTCAATTAAAGTAAAAATCAATTTATGCATATGGCTTGAATCTGCTATTCCCGGGACTTTAAAACTTAGCCATGCTATGTGTCAAAGAAGATAAATATTAATAAACCTTGTCATAATATGACAATATGATATGATCTTGTTTACCTGTGTAACTTTGCAGTGTTGCGACAGTGGACTTCAAAGTTGTTATTTCAGACTTCATTGCATTAACCTAATTTCATAAAAGAATAATATTTTTTCAACAATGGATAATTAGGTTTTGTAGACAACATGCCAATTATTAAGAGAATTATTTAAAAGAGTATTACTAAATTTTGTGAGTAGCTGGCAACCATCTGATTTGTAGTCGGGCAGTTTTACTTGCCGAATCGGGCGATCCCAGTTCGATTCCCAGACAGTACAGGTCACTTTAGTTGTGATTGATAAAAATCCTTTCTACTGTCATTCGTACCTCTGTTCTGGCATGTACAGAATTATATCAGTTCCTTGCGAAAGTGAATCAAACTAGAAATGATAAACTGCCTGTATGAGCTATGCTCTGGTAAATTCAACGTGGCTTACTGCTGCAATCCGGAGGGTTATCTACCAACACCAACACCATCACCACCACTTGCTGCCCACGCATCCGTTCACATTCAAATTAACTGATTTCTGACTTTCTTTCCGAATGACTCTTTATCCTGACAGAACGGTATCAATACGTCAAATGCAGTGAACGTTAATATGATGACCAATTGTAGATTAGGATGCAAATATATGAATATAAAACACCAGCTATTACAGTAATTAAATCAAAGGGCTGCAGCTCTATGGTATTTTCTGATCTTTGCAATCTAAATCATACTGACTATCTGTATGTACTTTCCTGTATAAGTTTATTTTTATATACTATAATTCATCTTACGCAGCGACAGCGTTTTGATTTTCTTCTATAACAGTTTGAGATTTACATATGGAATTTTGCATGAAAAAAAAAATAGAATTGCCTCGACTAGGATTTGAACCATAGGCCTCTCACACCCTCAACGAGACCGCTTACCTCTGCACCACGGCGAAGTTATACATATGAACCTTGAATAAAAACGAATACATTATGTAATTCTAAATTGAGAATTTCCATTTCGTGTTTGTAATCCTTATTAATTTCGAGGTATTTTGTTCACGATAAACGTGTTGTTTAACACTGATGAAAATAATTTATCGAAAATCTTCTCGCCAAAACAGTCCGATATGTATATATTCCACTACTCGACAGTCAGAGATATTTGAGTACTACGCTCTGGAGTATTCGGTAATCGGCATAGCTAAAAATAGCATTTTCATTGATTAAAATGATATTCATGATAATCCGAAGCTTTACGGAAATAGCCGAACATTTTTCATTGGGTAAAAAAGATATTCATCCGCGAAATTTATGATTGTAACCTCATATTTCTATTGACTAATCTAAACTTTTAATGCACTGAAATTCGTTAAATGCCTACATTGAAAATTATTCTTTCTTTTAAATTGCTGGTTTTTAAGCAGTTTTGAGTGAGAACTACTTTGCGTTGTTAGGACTGTCAGGAAATTTTGTGTTAGACCGTGGATGTTAGCTATGTATTTACTGATCTTACGATCAGAAAATACAAAAATGGTGGTCCAATGATTTAAAGAACTATTTTAAAATGCAAAGCAAAAGTTGCGTAATATAATCCGCAAAAATTGAAAGTTAACTAACGTAAAAATTATATAAAATAATGCTTGTATTTAACAAAAAATCTTACTTCTGCAGCTAATGTCTGATATGCCTGTACAAGGGAAGCGTCATCGTGAAGCAAAAGTCGATTATTTCTATCCCTACAAACTATTTCGCTGGCCGAAAAAAGAAATACAGTTATATAAAAAACAAGACACATTTTGTTGACGTGTAAGTCTGATATAAAATGAAAGTCAGCTTATGACAGTTGTCTTACAAGAAAAGCATTGATACAAAGCATCAAAGGGCGTCCAAGCAAAAAATGCAGAAAGTGAAGATGAACTAGTAGACATATGATTTCAAGATATTCTTATAAACTTTTCAATGGTTAATTGGTTTTTACTAGAATGAACGGACGGAAGACATTGTTCATTATGAACTTTGATTGGCATGCTAGAGATTAGAATATCACTTGTTATTTCTTTATGATCGTGATTATTAATAGCAACGGATATACATGTATACAATCATTTATAATCCATATGTGTAACGCATGATCAACACCACACTTGTGGAATAATCCATATGTGTAACGCATGATCAACACCACACTTGTGGAATTGTCCCTTATTATGTAATCGCTATTAGCGAAGACCCCCTCTTAAGGTATCTGTTCACACTTAGTAAAAATATGACACTGGTTATATTACCATGCCATGTTGAGCATTATTGTTTATTATACAATAATTGTAATATCTATTTTAATAACAAAAATACAGATTTTATAAATATTGTTTTCCTCTCTTTTTTGTGTTTTTATGTGTTATTTTGATACTGAGTTTTTTACGTTTACTACTCTTTTTTTATTAAAATTGTAAAATAAATTTTAAGAATTTAATTGTCATATTCACGGACGATTATAAGTCAAAACTTAACTGGAAATAGTCAGTAAATTATGGTTAATCTTTCAATATATAATATTGTTTATTCTTAAACCATGTACATGTACATTTGTATTTTTCTTTATCATTTTTTAAATTATCAATCAATTAAATAATTAATAAAATATAATTTGTAACTTTGAATAATTCCTCGGCATCTTTACTAAACACGAATAACAAATTAAATAAAATGTTTCAAAGTTGATAGTGTCATATTAAAACCATTAAAATGTACCTTTTTTCACAATTATTGTACATATTTATTGTTTTTATCTCATATAGATAAAATGAAACATGCTATTGTTGTTGTTGGTGGTGGTTTTTTTTCTCGAATTGTATGTTTATGTATAATAATAATCAATAAATTTGAGAGTTGATCTATGTTTATTAATTATTGTAACCAAACTAAGTGACAAACATTCATTTTGGAAAAAAGCTTATTTACAATGTATCTGTAAAATATTTGTTCTGTTCTGTAACGATATCAAACATCTACTCCAAAACCGGGAGAGACCGGACAATAAACGTGTGGTCACTAGTATCCCGGTCAAAATAGACCGGGAGAGACCGGAATTACCGATAGGAGTACATCCCTCTATAAATAGATTTTCGGAATATTTAGGTCATCAACTCATCATTCTATTTTAACATACCATGATAACCCACTGTGTATTACAAAATGATAAATAAAAAAACCGAAGAGACGGAAAAGGTTATTGCATTTGAAAATGTTTGCATTGCGAAATCCTCCAGTTCGCTATTCATTATACATATCGCGACATTTCATTTTTCAAGCACCCTCATACCGATCGGAATGATCGGCTTTTACTATGACCGACTAAAAGGCTCGAGAAGTTGCTGTCGCCCTTTCACAAAATCTGATTTCATTCCATAAAGGGGCGCCGCGCTTCGGCGCGGACGCCAATCAGTGACGTACTGTTAAAACTTCAGGGTTTAAAAAGTCATTCTACTTGAAAAGGGATAAGAGTTTGTAAATTGACTCTTTTTTTCAAGTTTTCATTTTTGTTGTCCTACTGTTTGAGAAAAGATCGGAGTCTGTTAACGTTATAGAATCGGTGCTTTATATGTTACAAATATTTGAGGTCCTTTTTATTGGGGAAAAGGAGCAACGTTTGTTGTAGAAAAAAATGCTTTTATTCATACATGTAGAAAAAAAAATACTCGGTCGAATGTTTAACTTTGTAGACAATCATATACTGTATGAACAATGATATACTAGTGTTATAATGACATTCTGTATGAACAATGATAAACTGTTTGAATAACGATATAATGTATGAACAAACATAATAATGTATGTACAATGAGAGACTAGTGTTACAATGATATACGTAATGAACAATGATATACTGTATGAACAATAATTAATTGTATGATATACTGTATGAACAATGATATAATATATGAACAATGATATACTGAGTAAACAATGATATACTTACTGTATGAACACTGATAAACATGTGTTACAATGATATAATATATGAACAATGTTATTCTATATGAACAATGATATACTTTATAAACAATGATATACTGTATAAGCAACGATATACTGTATAAACAACGATATACTGTATGTATAGGATATCGACCGAGTACGAGGTCTTTCTGTTTAGGAAAGACCTGGTCATGAATTTCATGTGACACCGAGAGCGCGGAGCGCTCGAGGTGTTTAATGAAATTCGTGACCAGGTCTTTCCTAAACAGAAAGATCGATGTACGAGGCCGATATTCAACTTACACACTGTTAAAACTATTTTGGCTTGAGCAATGGCTGATCCGAAATGCACAAATATTATTTTTAACACAACGCATATACAGGTAAGCTTTTATCTTCTGCTTAAATACAATATATACTTTGCATTTAGATTTGCTTTCCCCTTTAAAATAAAAAGTCAAAAAAATAAATGTGTAATTTGTCAATAATAAAGTGAATAGGTCTGTAATGGAAGGTATATTAAAGAAAGAATAATTATGTTGATAGTATTTCGTATCAGACAATGCAGATTCTTGGACATTTGACACCGGAGTAGAGAGGAAAATGTTAGCAATATTGACATATTGTCATCCAAGGATCATTTCTGTAAAGTGTTATACAATTTGGCCTAGTGGTTTATGAAATTCTTTTGCATAAAATGTTTACAGAAGACATATAACCTACGATGGACATCAGGCGAGCCTAAAAACTCACCATCAGTTTTTCATGATCAAGTCAACTAAAAAGCAAAAAAGCAACTTGAAACTAAAGTTAATATATTCTGGTATCTTCAAGTATACTACAATATAACTATAACTTCTATATTTTTATTTTACATTTTATACATTAATAGACATAAGCTTACTCAAATAAAATCATTCATAATATCTGAAATAACACAACTGGATGGCCCTGGTAACCTGTAGTGCACTTGCCCGAACTTTTTTCTGTTCAGTCTTCTCATAATGATGCTGATCAAGGAAAATGGTCCTTTGGAACTGGTAAGGCGGACTAAGTGGTTAAATCATGGTGTTGAGGTCAAGTCATGTGTGTGAGTGACGACTGTCTGTGTCTGAGAAATGAAGTCAATGGATTAAGGTGCACGAGGGTTCCTGTGACTTAAACAAATGCCGGATAGAACTTGAGAGGTGTTATCATAAATATTCAATTTCTCTGTTTCATCTGGCATCATTTGGTCTGTTAAACTATATTTTTATCTTATACATTTTTCAAAGGTTTATTTTTCTCGAAGTATTTTGGCTCATCTGGCATGCAGCTTTTAAATAATTACAATGAAGTCTAACATGAACCACTTTGTAGATTAGGAACGGTTGCCTTTAAAACTTTAACCTGCAAAACAAAACAAAATGTATTTCTTACTCTTTTTTAAAGGCAATTGAAGAAGGACTACTTATGTTTACGTCAAGTATCTAACATATTAACATTTATGTGTTACATGCTAACTTAAACATAGATTTTGCTTTCTCTGTTTTTGTTATGGGAGCATCAATAAACCATGAATCATGAATTTGCATTGATGACTATCTTCTACAATGAATAAATCTGACATTATTAATTATGAAGGTTGCCAAAAAATGTTGACTTTGAATACTCATGTCCTTATATAAATATACATGAAAATTAAACCAGATAAGAAATTTAGATGTTTCTACTTAACGTTATCTCCACTCCTTGACCTTGTAAACTTAATAATATGCTAACTACATTTAACCATAGACACTTGGTTTTGAGTCGAAGACTCTCTTCACCAATCAGTAGCTGCCAAATTTACCGATTTTTAACTCATAATACCTGCCATTTTTCACTTGTTACGAATTTCATAATACCCGCCGTTTTTCACTTGTTACTTATTTCATAATACCCGTTTTTTTCACTTCTTCTTTTTCTTTTCTTCCACAGGTACTCGTAGCAAGTAAAAATGATATTAAAAACGAACATTACGTTAAATTCGGATAAATTTGGAAAGTGCTGTTTTTAAGCCTGGTCATACTACGCGGGTGAACATGCTATATAGTGTTGGCAAGGGCTTATTTACATTCGGTTCCAGCAGAATCCAGATTAAAATTTCACCTCTGCAGCTAATGTTTGATATGCCTGTACAAGGGAAGCGTCATCGTGAAGCAAAAGTCGACTATTTCTATTTCTACAAACTATTTCGCTGGCCGAAATAAGAAATACAGTTATATAGAACACCAGAGACATTTTAAACATTTTGGTGATGTGTTTGTCAGATATAAATGCAACAATCTGTCAGCTGTCTTATCAGTTACCAATTTTTAAAAGAGGTGACAGGTCATTCTATTTGGAAAAATAAAATAGTAGCAAATTGAGGTTCTTCTATTGAAAAAGGATTTTTTTTACATATTTTCATTTTTTGGGATTTGTAATTTAAAAGAAAATATGCTTTTTGTGTTTACAATGTTTCGGATTCTTTTATAGGAATTAGGATCATAGTTTTTTTTATGGAAAAATATATTTTTATGTTTTCAATATTTGAGGTGAAGTAATTGCAGTTGATATTGGAAAACCATAATGTTTTCATTGAAGGTGTCACTCTTTTAGGAAAGGGATAGGGGTTAGTAATGCACATAAAAATGATTTTAAGGCACAATAATTTTATGTCCCAGAAACAGTCTTTCCTTCTTTAGAAAGGGCGAACGTGAGTTTAAACATGAGTTTTATAAATAAAAGTAACACTTTTATGGAACGTTAGATGCTTACATCATGTAAAAAGTGAATTGTTCAGCACTGAATGTGAAAATTATTTTTCATAAAAGCAAAGTAGTATTTTGACTTCCATACAAAATACTAAATTACTTTAACTATACTTATTGCAAAAAAGAGCAACAGAAGCAAAATATTTTTTCTTGTAAACGGGTAGAGAGTATAATGTTATAACAGGGTATAAGAAAAGCTTTTCAGAAAATAAAAGTATCTCTCGGGCTTTTAATTGTGTTCATTTTTTTGAGTTTAAATCTCGGGATTTTTATTTAAGAATTTTATTTTTTTAACTTTGTAAAAAAAAAGAAAAAATAACATGCGTTATTATATATAAAAATTGTGGAAATGATAGTTAAAATGTAATTTTTTTATTTTTATAGTGTATTTAAATATTCAATAATCAAAATTTTTATTGGGGATACCCTTATTTAAAATGTCAAAAAAACCAAAAAATTATTAATTTTAATTTTTCAGATAATTTTAAAAAAAACGTGAAAATACCTAAATTGGAAAAAGGTATTTTAAAAAATAGAATTTAAGAATACCGGGGAAAAAAGTTATAAAAATTTTTAAAATAGATATTGAACATAGAATTCAAATCAAAAAGATCAGACAATACAGTTTTCCTCGTTATGGATGCTTTAAGTGAAAAACAAGCTTTTTTAAAAGATTTTAATAAAGGGGAAAATTTAATTTTTTACAAAAAAACCAAATGACCAAACCTTTACAAACGGAATTTAAATAGCAATAATTTTTCTAAATAAAACAGGGGACCCCTTATTGTAGCATGCCCACCCCTGATAACTTCCGGTTTTGAAAACGAGGGAGATGTATTTTTATGCACATTATGCCCTCGTGCGACACCAGGTATCCATTGTATTCTTTGGTCCATCCTGGATAACAATCAAGACGGCCCGGTAGCATCATCATGATCGGTCTAGTGGACTGGCAAACCGCGCAAGGAGCGTCTTCTTCATAGATATGTTCCCCGCCAAAAAAAGCAGACCCTTGATCTGAGTGAAACTGTCCAAACTGATATTCCGCACCGTATATTTTGCTACCAGAGGATACCGAGTCATCATAATGAGCCCATTGCGGGTCTTTCGGTAGGCAGAGGTGATTTGTAGCGCCGCCTGTTCTGCCGTAATAGAATCCTGCTGAGAAACCTGCAAAATGTCAACATGTATATGATAATTAATCTTCTAAAAATGTTAAAAGGTGCTTCAGAAAATATATTTATGTTTGCACCTGGCAAGACTCAGCAGTTAATTTATGTCAAAATAAGGTAGAACAAATACCAAATTGGATGAAAATGTCCAGGCCCAGAGGACACTGGACTGTTTATTTCAAAATCAAGAAAGATATGCACATTAAGCTTAGATAAGTAAATAACAATGTACGTCCAACCTATTTATATTCTTAACTGATTGGTAAGATATGAGCTAATTTTAACATATAATGATGATTTATAAAAAAAAAATATACTTTGAAATCCATTTATTCCAGCGAATTGTAGTAAAGGGTATGTGAGTCAAACTGTAGTAAATTTTTTTGTCAAAGTTAATTTTTATTATCTTATAAACAAAAACGTTTTACCTGAATAGACGAGATGTGTGCCATTTGCAGGACATGATGTTCTGCCCCATCTGACATAAAGGTTGCCACCGCCTGTTCCTACAATAATTATTAATACTTGATGTAGGAAACCACAATATTCAAGTATTGGACAGTCATTCAGGCACTGTTTTCAGTGGCACTTTGGATCAGTTTATGTTCCCTTTAAAAAGAACTCAACTGAGGTCCAAAAGCCTAAAATCACAAAATTTGAATTTCTTACATAGGTCAACTGGCCTGTTCAAACAAAATGATATTTAAAGGATAATTTAGAAATATACTCAGAAATAAATTGAAATCGTATTTTTCTGCGATTCTTAGTTCGATTTGAGCGAAAAGCATTGAAACGCTCTTCAATTTTGGGTCAATTTTAGAATCAAAATAATTATTCTGGAAAAAACAGAATGAGAGCGAATAATCTGAAATATTGCACATAATGTATTAGTGTAGTGGAATATTAATCTTGAAAAGTTATTTTCAGTTCCATCATGTAAACAAAGAATTCAGTTGAGTCTTTTTAAGAGCGTATACCTCAGTCAATTAAAGTAAAAATCAATTTATACATATGGCTTGAATCTGCTATTCCCTTAGCCATGCTATGTGTCAAAGAAGATAAATATTAATAAACCTTGTCATAATATGACAATATGACATGATCTTGTTTACCTGTGTAACTTTGCAGTGTTGCGACAGTGGACTTCAAAGTTGTTATTTCAGACTTCATTGCATTAACCTAATTTCATAAAAGAATTAAAAAATTCAACAATAGATAATCAGGTTTTGCAGACAACATGCCAGTTACTAAAGAGAGTAATTAAAAAGAGTATTAGTAAATTTTGTGAGTAGCTGGCAACCATCTGATTTGTAGTCGGGCAGTGTTACTTGCCGAATCGGGCGATCCCAGTTCGATTCCCAGTCAGTACAGGTCACTTTAGTTGTGATTGATCATGAAATCCTTTCTACGGTCATTCGTATTTTACAGAATTATATCAGTTCCTTGCGAAAGTGAATCCAACTAGAAACGATAAACCGTCTGGATGAACTATGCTCTGGCTTACTGCTGCCATCCGGAGGGTTATCTACCAACACCATCACCACCACCACCACATGATGGCCAACTGTAGATTAGGTGAAATGGTGCTTTAGCCAGATGCAAAGACGACAATAAGCCAACACGTTTTTTATGGATATGAATATGGTACATAAGCCATTACAGTAATTCAAAAATGGTGGGCCAATAATTAAAAGAACAAGTTTTAAATACAAAGCAAAAGTTGCGCAAAAAAATCTGCAAAATCGTGAGTTAAATAATGCTTGTCTCTAACAAAAATCTTACCTCTGCAGCTAATGTCTGATATGCCTGTACAAGGGAAGCCTCATCGTGAAGCAAAAGTCGATTATTTCTATCCCTACAAACTATTTCGCTGGCCGAAAAAAGAAATACAGTTATATAAAAAACAAGACACATTTTGTTGACGTGTAAGTCTGATCTTTAACGAAGGTCAGCTTATGACAGCAGTCTTATCAGTGACGTACTGTTAAAACTTATGGGTTTAAAAAGTCCTTCTAATAGAAAAAAGTCAGTGTAGTAAAGCTTGTAAATTGACTTTTGTTTTCATTGAAAAATGATCGGAGTCTGTTATGGAATCGGTGCTTTTTATGTTACAAATATTTAAAGTATTTTCATTGTGAAAGAGGAGCAACGTTTGTTGTAAAAAATGCTTTTATTCATACATGTAATACTTGGTAGTATGTTTTAACTTGCAGACAATTATGATAGGGTTATATAATGTTAAAATGAATA